GTCAAGAAAATAAAACTGTTTGGGCCAGTTTTGAAAAAAAAAAAAAAAAAAAAAAAGAACAGGCTTCCCACATCTGAGACCTCCTGTAGACCATAATGCTCTTAAAATGTTTAGGGTTCCCCCTCAAGCTGTGATGCATTTAAGAGGTTTTGGCTTAGCAGAGAATTTTCTGTGCCTGGCACTTCCGCAGAAAGCGCACAGCCATGTTTTGCAGTGTATACTCAAGCTTATTTGACTGGAAAATGAAGTTGTCTCCTGGACATATAAGGTCTTTATTTTATTAACCCAACACTTCATGGACACTGATATTCACATTAAGAGAAGTAAAGAATGGCTATTTGCTTGAGTTTATGAAATGAATCTGTGAACCACAAACAACACCAAGTCTCTACAACCATCAATTAAAGCAGTTTTAATTAAGCCACCACATTTGAAAGGAGTACCACATACATTAGTATCACTTGAGAGTAATTAATGACTATTTGCAATAGCTTTCTCGCTAACATCGTAATTGTGTAACATGCTGGTTATGCTTCCACCCCTCCCAGTATATTCAGAGCCAAGTTTATTTTACATTTGTGCTTTTTTGATGAGTTATAACAATGCTTATAAAAAAAACATACAAAAGACTCAAGTTATGCTAAACCTTATTACCAAACCATTCTCCCTCTCATTAGGAAGGTTGTCCATTTTCTTATGTCTTTTCTCCTTCTCAGCTTTAGCTGTGCAAGGATTTTGCAGACTTGGGACTCTCTGCTATATTATGAATTCACTAGAAAGTAGGTACTATCATTAGTCTACACAGTATTCCCCACCAGCCAGTACCGTACAGAAAAAAAGACACATTTGTCACAGGACTCTCTTCTTCAGCAAGAATCATACATACAGTTGATTGTATGCGCTACGACTGAGCTTGTAACACAGTTCTGAAGTCTGTAGATGTTTACGCTCTGTAGAGTTATAAAATACAGGCCTGGAAGGTCACCTGGCCTTTCTAAAACAGGATCACATGCAATACACAGAATTACCAAATTAAAAAACATGTCACAAAACAGAAAGCTATACAACATATAATACAGGATATATTGGGCATTGAAAAGGCTTAGTTCTAAATTACTTTAGCTTTACAGTATGATGCTTAATGCTTTATAAATTCTATTTTGTACATGTGCATGAACACATATACCCCCACACTTACACTCTTCCAAGTACTGGGTTCACAATAGTAAGAATTAAGTCCCCAGCTGCTTGTTACACAGAGTAACGTGCAGCATTTGCTTTCTACCCTACCCATACCCTGCTCAGAAATCTGTCTCTGCTGGAGCTGCATCCTGCATAGCTGGAAGAGGAGCTCCACAAATGAGCATCTTCCTTCTTCCCCATCTGAAGAAAGTTCTGACAAAGATTAGAAACCACAATTAAGTCTGCTGTAAGCTGTTGCAGGCCCACGACCAACACAGACACAGCTCTGCCTGGCTGGAATCCTTATTTAGAATCGCTGGCTCCAGAAACACGAGCTAGGAGCCAGACAGATTACTCCCTGAGACAGGTGCCTGTATGAAGTTTGCACATGTAAATTGCTCACAGAACTGCTTTTCTATTTTTACCTGTTATCCCTAGTGACTCACAAAGCATTCCCAAGTTTACTAAACTCTGGAGTACCTACAGCGTGCTTTAGAAACTTTTAGAGGTTCTCAAATCCTTATGCTAAGATTTCCCTCCAAAGCACAGCTGATAATTAAAACACTGCAGTATTAAAAAGGTAGACATAAAGAACAGTGTATGTTTCTATTCAAAGTTATTTTCTAAATCAGCATCCCTCAAATACCATGTAAAATATATGAACTTTAACATTTGAAGGTTTATTGATTCTCTCTGTGACAATGTATATTAAATTATATGTGGCTCCATCACAAGTCCTGCAGTGGCCACAAAAACACCAGTAAGTGTTACATTAGCCACTGGTTTACACACCAGCACCATGCTTTAGAGGTGTCCGTCCAACAGCACCAATTGGTGGAAAATAAATTTTAATTTTATTTTCCCCCTTAATTCAAATAGCTAATAGTCAACAATAGTCCAGTAACAAGAATGAGAAGCGATTCTTAGGCAGCAGGTGACTGCAACAGTCTCAGGGAAGTTCCTTCCTTGGGACTGATTTTGGTGGAAGAAAAAGCATTCTTTGGAAGGTTGGTTTTTTTCTAGTTCCATTGAAGACAATTTTGTCCGAGGTGAAAACAAAATAACTTGTAGGTTCCTCTAGTGGGTTGTTTAAAATATCTCCTCTTCCTTTCTACACTTGAAACACTACATCTTTATTCATAAGCAAGTGTTTTGAATAAAATAAGGATGACTCAATTAGTTGAGAGGGGAAGGAGCAAGTAAACCACTCAAACAGAATCGACATGAGAATACATAAGTAATACTTTAGGTAAAAGCTATTTGCTTAAAGATGCCAATATTTTTACCAATTTATTGCCAGGGCTAGTAAGAAATACTCTGCAGAAATAAGGTGGGTTTTTTTTAGTCTCTTACAATGGCACCAAATTTACATCAGAGGTGCTCCTCTCTTTTTTGACAGTTGACTGTACTTGGATTTAATCTTTCAATTTAGGTATGGTGCTCTCTCTGGGGAGGAGTAGTAATAGGTAGGCTTGATGTTTCCCAGGACTTCATCTTCCCAGTTGGGGAGGCAGCAGAAGAAGAAAGCACAGCCTATTACAACAACAGTGCTGGCCCAACCAAAGCCATAGGCCCAGCTGAACATATTATCTCCTGTCAGTGGAATTTCTTCTGTGAATTTCACTGGGTAGATGACCAAGCCTATGATCTGGAATGCAGCTAGAGAGAGAGAAAGAAAGAAAAAAAAGCAGGAGTAAATGACAATGAATGATATTACATTTCCCACTAAAGAAAGGCACCTGGAGATAAGCTAATCCTTAAGAGGATACGCAGTTCAGTCCTACAATCAACTCTGCCTTCTTGCAGAGGTATGTGACTCCTGGCCAAGGCACATCCCCAGGCCTATCTGGCTGCAGCAGCTACAGCTGACATTGTCAGGTTGCTAAGGCACTCATCTGTGTGCCACGACCAGCCCTGTCCTACAGCCAGGCACTGTGATCCCTGCAGAGCCAGTTACCTCCCACTTGTACCATAGCCCCGTCGCTCCTCCTCCCCTCAGGAAGGTGGGAAGCACCCGGGGCTCTCAGCTCCTAAGTCTTAGCATGTGACTTGCAGGGTCAAAGGTGTTGGTTGTCCCCATACGCTGCTTTTGGGAAAGTGCTAACTGACAAAGGCCGCTGGAGCTTCCCTAACCATTATCCTCTCAGAGCGTAAATCAACCTTCCCTTGTTCCCCATGAGAATGAGTCATAAACCAGACAAAGACAGCTTACTTCATAAGGGAGGCTCCATCTAGTATGCTTTTCTGCTGATGCCTGTTTTACATCTAAAATAACCTTGTCTTTGTGTCCAGACTTACCAACAACAAAGAGCAAGCCTCCAATTCCTCGCACAAAGTTGAAGCGGAGTATCTCAATCGAGAACGCGATGACTGCGAGAGCAAAACAGATGACCAGGATCACAAAGCCAACAAGGTATGTGGCAGCTGCTGCTCTCCCCCATCCTTGAAGAAAAAACAAGAAAGATGTTACACACAGCAGCACACTGAACTGTAGGTCATTGCAGGCCTTCGGTTTCCTTTAATCATATGTTGTTGAAATCCTTTACTGTAAGAAGCATGCTCTATGTCAAAGCAATACTGGATGCCTCCAAAGCACACAGCTGCAGAGCAGAGAGGCACTATCGTTGGCAGGGCAGCACAGAACTCCCTGCCCGCTAACTTGTCCTGCTGGATAGAGGGAT